TTTCTTTGGCTGAAAACAATCTATAATGAAGTGAGTAAAAATTTAATCATCATGTCGCACTTAGTTGACTTTTATTTCCAGCTTGTGTTTTGTTGGTTGGAGTTGGGAAGATTAATTTTTTTTTTTTTTAATTTACTTGAGCAGGTTGCCAGATTATTTAATGAAGCTGCTGAAATTGCACCTGATGATGCAGATATTCACATAGTTATTGGGGTCTTATACAACTTAACTAGGGATTATGACAAAGCCATTCAATCATTCCAAAGAGCATTGAAACTTAAACCACAGGATTACTCTCTTTGGAACAAGCTTGGTGCAACTCAAGCAAACAGCGTTCAAAGTGCTGATGCTATAATGGCTTATCAACAGGTGCTTTTTATAGAATTAATCCCCATATGGCTTTATCATTATCCTATTAATCATTTCGAGTGAGGTACTCTTACTTGTAAATTACACTCGTTCTAAAACACTTAATATCAGTTTCTCTCTCAACTTGTGCTCTTAATAGTTGTCATTAGATAAATACCCTGTCTGCCATTTCTCTGCCAACTGACTCTGAACATCTTTTCTGGTTCAAGTGTAAGGAGGTTTTGTCTTTCATGCCTCTAGGCTTCTAAATAGATGTGGCCGGGTTTCAAAGATACTGAATAAGAGCATACAATGAACATTCATTTACTTCGTCAGCAGTAGAAAGCAAAATACATTAATGACCTATCTATTCTTCAGGAAAAAAAGGGGGGGGTTTAAAGATAAATAAGACCCAGAAGTCTAGAGAAATAAAAATTATGAAGAGACTTTTAAATGAAAAGTTGTGGTGAATGTGAATAATAAAATTGACAAAAACAGATCTTCGTCAAAGATAAAAATCAAATTCATTTAAATTACTTCACCCAAAATTTCATTGATGAAATTCAAAACCAAAAGCTACATACTATCTGATTTTCTTTTGGCAGACATTTTCTAGGGTCGTCTCCAAATTAGTGAGCGGGGACCATTGACTCTCAGACAAACAAGATTGGTCTAATAGTCTTTAATTTGGTTAAAAAAAAGCAAAATTCTTTTAATTTTTTGATGCATATTATTAATTAACCATGATTTCAACAAGGCAAATGTTTTCATTACCTTGAGTTAACTTCACTAAAATATTCTGTTAGAGTTTTGATCCTGCTGTTTGGCAATAGAAAAAGTCATTAAAAAAATACTTTGTAGTTTATTTGAACAGATCTTTTGGAGGGTGAGTTCAATTGGCCTAATTTTTATTGCAGTAAATTAGAATTTCAAATAACTTTGTGATTTAAAATTAGGCCAATTGAACTCAATTAAGTTTGAATCCTAGGCTAGTAGCACATGACAAAATTGTATCAAGAAAAAATTCCGGAAACTTCTGAGAGAGCCCCGTTAATGCTTATTATAGTTTTCTGTATTTTAATTCAGATTACATACAAGAAAATTGACAAATGCTATAAGCCTTTAACCTTCGAGTATATCATTGTATGATTGATATCGGAAAGGGTTGGTTGATTTGATTCCTGTTTTGTAGTTTTCCTTTTCTCTGGTGATCTTGCTTTTCTTTCTTTTTTGTTTTTGATGGAATTTTCACATTTCTTTTATCTCCAGAAAAAGATGGGAGGAAGGGTAGCATGAATTGATATTGCATTCATTTGTTGTTATATGCTAAATCCTCAATTTGAATTCTATAATGAATTCTCTTGGTTTCCAGGCTTTAGATTTGAAGCCTAATTATGTTCGTGCATGGGCAAATATGGGTATCAGTTATGCAAACCAGGTGCGTACGCTGCTTGGGTCTTCACTTGCTATCATTGTCAAATTTTACTATGTCGGAAGGAAGTTCAAGATTGTCTTTACTTTGTAGCTTTTCTTTTTATTGGTTGAACTTACTAATGAAAATCCTTGACAGCTATATTAGCTGAAAATATTCAATCTGGTCTGTTTTGTTTTAGCTCTAGAATTCCATGTTCACCATGAAGCAAGAGGAAGTGGTGTATGTAAGAATTGTGGCATTTCATTTTTTTTTTTTTAATTAAGATCAAACTATATTAAGATAAAACGATTAGAAGTAAGGCCCAAGTTTGGACCCTGTATTACAGACAAGCGACACAGCTGACGGCAAGAGAATATAAACAACACATATACTGGCTAGTAAACTAGGTAAGCACATCCATAAAACATGAAAAGAGTTGCAGATGAGACACAGCTCCACGACGAAGGAATCTTAGATGCCTCTGATGAAAGGACTTTATCGGATGCAGTAAATTTCCCCCGTGCCACAAGAAATGAGGTAGAAAAGTTTGACTGTCTAACCCTTCATGTTGCCCCTGGGAACCCCATCATTACATTTGAATAATCTGTACAGGGAGAGATGATTCCCCATCATCCTCTTCTCTCCTTGTCCATTTTTCTCTTACGTTAATTGAAATCAGTAACAAAGCCTTGCTCTGATTAGAGAAGCCATAAGCCTTGTGACCTGAAGTGTTGTCAAAGAAATCTGTATGGTCTGAAACACAGTCTTTCTTGTCTTTATCTGGGTGATTAGTCTTTATTTCCCATAGCAGACAGTAGTCCTGAAGACTCAAACTTCAAAATGAATTGGTATGTAGTAATGGATATGCTTGGGAATATATTGTATTTTCCATTCAGCATCTTTTTATTATTAAGAACAAAAAACTTACATGCAGTCTCTTGTTATATTTACAATCAAATTCTTCAATTAAAATCTTAGTGGATGATTCTTTAATAATTGCTTGGACAAGAATATGGATTTTGCAAATAGAGCAGTTTTCCAAAACCTCACACTTGTCATGGCATTATTGGAGAATCATAAACTGATGTTTTAGTTAGAGAACCTGATAGAAAATATACAAGAAACTGCACTTAAGTGATCTATAATTACATTGGTGAGTTCACAGTATTCTATCGTTTGATACGAAATGGGTAAAGTTCTCAATAAGATGAGCATGATTTAACTCTTTCAGCATGTGAACTTTGCAATTCTATGAGGCTATGCAATGAGTAGAACGAGTTGCTGGTTTTTTTTTTTTTTTTTTTTTTTAAGAAAAAATAAGTCAAAACCCAACGTACTTAGTTGGATGAAGCTTTGCTTACGATTTTTTTTGGGCGTGCCTTTGCTTTCAAATTTGTCTGAATGTGATTTTCTCGTCCTCTAGGGCATGTATGATGAATCCATTCGTTATTATGTTCGAGCACTCGCCATGAACCCTAAAGCTGATAATGCATGGCAATATCTACGGATCTCTCTGAGGTATGACTTTCTTATTCATTTTAATCCACAAATAAAGTTGTGTGGGTGTGAAAATGGATCGGCAGAGGGGCTATTATCAAGTACTTATTACATATCTTCTTGAATTTTCATTCCTTTTCTACTTTTTCAGTTGTGCTTCCAGGAATGACATGCTTGAAGCTTGTGATTCACGAAACCTTGACCTTCTCCAGAAAGAGTTTCCGCTACAGTAAATTTTGTTCCAAATGTGTTCAGTTTTCAACTACTGAGGTGGGTTTAGATTTTGAAATATGTATCTTCCTTTTCTTTCAAAGGTTAAGGTGTAAAAATATCTAAAAACTCTCTAGAAGCTTTCAGTATCTTTAAGTGAATAATGATGCATGTTCATAAATGAGACAACCTTTTTTAATCGGTCAAAATAGCATGATGTTGACGGTTAAATGTTAAAGATAGAACTTAATGGGATGGCCGATGAGAAATGTTGGCATCTTTAATAAAGTTAACGAGTATTCATGCATTATTGTTGACTTATGGATACTAAAAATTGTTGAGTAATTTTGTACCTTATTCCTCCTTTTAATTGGATTATAGAATATCATTTTATTTTACATTTTTTGAAATTGAATCCCCCACATCAATATCTGGATGTGCAGAAATCTCCAAGGACGCCGCGCAATTAATCTGAGTGACTGCGCATACAAGAATAGATGATGCTAAAGGCAATCTATCACTCTTTGAACATAGGATGAGATCTGAATCCAGTCGTGTGTGGATCCATGAAGTAGTCCAGTGTAGTAATACAGTTAAAAGTTTATATTATTTACATATATTTTTTTATTATATTTAAATAAAATCTGCTCAATCCTCATAAAATTTATTTAAAAACAAACACTTGAGTGGATCAAGGTGAGCGGGGAAAATGCTAATGCACATAATTGTTCATCGAATTTAGGTCAAATTACTCACTTCTGAATGTTAAACAAAAGTTTTATACTGAAAAACAGCCGCCCTTCTGTAGCAGCTCCATTATTGCGTTGGACTGATTATGTATATAAGATGAGGTCTGTAATTTCACCTGAAATGGTTATTACATAAGTCGAGTAATTATTCTCATCTGAGAGAGATTGTTTAGCATGGTGAATTTTACTCTGGACATATGGCTATTGCATAATTTATAGGCTTTCGTCTACCCATGTTTTTTTTTTAAAGTTAAATAAACACAATCCTTCTAAAACTGCAAGGGTGATGTGCGTGACTTTTTACTTTTAAAAGATTAAATAAACTTTAGTAAATTTATTTGTCATCATGGACTCCCCTACCTTTAAGTTTCTATATAATACATCAATAAAAGGCACGTGGTGGTTTATAAAAAACCAAAAAAAGACATGTAATAATGCAATTTTTGTGGGATTTTCAGTTTTTCACTAAGTGAAAAATGAAGTAAAAATGGCAGAAAAATCAACAATACTAAAAGCAATGAAAATGTGAGTTAAAAACTCAAAATATGCTTAAAAAACAATGGCATTGCTCTTTGGCAACGGCATCAAATTATGACAAGCAATATTGCTTTGCTTCAAAATCAAATATTAGATCAACCCTAAATATAGTCTAGGGTGCAATCTACTTCATTCTCCCAAAGAGTTAGCCAATTATTTATGAGATTATTCTAAGTGTTACAAGTTACCCAAGTGGAATGATTCACGTTTTAAACCCACTAAAAGGCACTAGACTTACCAAAACTAGTATAAGTGTTTGTGTAAGTCCCTCTAGGATTTAGATGGTGTAGATGTCCTTGTCCAATTATGAAATTCCCTTATTTATTTCTCTCGTTAGCCAATTGTTAACCTAGATTCAATTAAACTAGAGTCTCTAGCTAGTTAACCTCAACAAACCTGCCTAGATTTTCTAGTTAGTTTAAGTGTGCCAATGTGTTCCCTCTCTCTCTATGCCACGGCCTAGCTTGGAAAAGTGCTTAGGAAGGTTACAAAATTATGCCAACCACTGCGACTTAATCAAGAATTCACTCACAAGATTATGCAAAGCAAAGTCAAAACTACCAACACAATAATATAAGATTATGCAATTATCATATTGGAAATGGATCAAAGCATCGAGTTAAGGCACAGAGAGAAAAACGAAACAAGTGTTCTTATTAAAGAAGAGATGTACTCAAATAGGAGATGCAAGCCTTTCAATGTTGCAACCGTCAAGCCAACCAATTGGCAGATGAATTTGCTTTCATAAACATGTCATATACAATGCTAATATTGGATGCTTATAGGCTAAATGATAAAAATATTTAAAGTTATCTCGATCGTAGACAATTCTCTTTGATGCTTCTTGCAATGGCATTAGGAGGGCATAGGGGTCGAGGGTGGAGGCATCGACGGAGGAGCTGGATGCGTTGGTGCAGAGTAAGAAGGTGAGCAAGGCTGGTCAAGCTTTCTTGGGTGAGTGTTCGCATGTGCCACTGCTGGAGAAACGGTCGGGAGCAGGTGTCAAGGAGGGTTATTGGTTACAACATCGTGAAATTGTACGAGAAATAACTGATGCGTGAGGATCTAAAAGGTTTGGATTGGTTCAAGTTGGAGGAAGGAGATGAATGTACAGTTAAGTTCTTCGATGATGCTACTGGGTGGGTTTGAAGATATCTTGGACCTAATGGGTGGAATTATTCTGGATCTTTCGAATCCGTTATGCCCTGAGATTGATTTGGATGAGAAGGGGAGGAGAGAATCATCAAGCTTTTTTGTAAGCGTCTTTGGCAGATATTGGCGAAGAATGGGGACATTAAGGTGTCAGACTCTCTTTTTTTTCCCCATAGCATAAAGAGGATTATGCGATATCTTTTACGGGTGAGCTGTGAACAGATTTTGATAACTACTTCAGTATCATGAGATGGAAGCCTGAGTTTGATCCAAAGAAGGAAGTTATTGACATGATTATCGCTTGGGTAAGGTTCACTGATCTTCCCTTTGACTATTTTGATAGAGAAGTTTTGTATGACTCAAAAAATGGCTATTTTGCGTCGGAGTAATAGGCATTTGAGAAGTAACTAACTAAACCAATGTCACACGTCCAGCCAATGATGAACATTGAGCTTTCCACCTACTCAATATATTCTGCACTTTATCTATAAGAATTTGGAATTTAGTTTGGTCATTCCGCCCCCTAGTGATAATAAAAGCCCAAATACTTTCCCTGTTCATCCTTCTTTTGAAACCCACACAAGTCATATAACTCCTTTAGCTTCTGTTTTGACACATTACCTGAAAAGAACACACGTCTTCAGCGCATTAACTCTTTACACATACATCTCACCAAACTTTCCCAAACAATCTAGAACACTTTTCAGCTGCTCCATAATAACCTCACAGAAAAGCAACAAATCGTCTACAAAGTGAGAATGAGAAATAGGCACCCCTTGCCTACCCAACCTTAAAGGCTTCCACTTTCCCTCCTTAATCGCATCAACAATCAAATGAGAGAGCTTCTTCATTCCAAGGACAAAACAATGGGTTATCTGTAAAGGCCCTGTTGTAATTATTGTGTGATTGTGTCAGAAGGAGAAGTCTCATATTGCTCACATGAGGAGAGCTCCTAATGTATATATGGTAAAGAATGAAAATAGACTAGTAAATGGACTTAGAGTTAAAGAGACATTGGGTTCAAATTACCAAATTTATTTTGCCAAATTGTTAGATATGCCTTTCCAGAAGTCCTAGAGTTTGAATATTTAATTTTAAATTCCTCATCCATGGATTTATGTAACGTGCATTAACTAGAAACTGATATTTTAATTGTCTTCAAGTGGCAAGGAGGCAAACTTGCAAAACCAAAGGAGTAAATAGAAATAATGTGCAATGATGCGTATTTGAAACACTTAATTAAAATTGTGCTTTAAGGCTTCATCTCTTCCGTGTCTATGTATAGCCTGAGAAGTGCAATGTATCTGAAACCCATCTCTCGAGTTCTGATTATATCTATTAGTCTTTATTGTATTGTGTTTCTGCTAATTTTGCAAGATGAATCTGTTTAATCTTGGGGAGCTACCATGCGATTGATATAGTGTGACGGAATAACTCTTAAGGATAATGTTTTTCATACTTTAAATCTACCTGCAGGTTCCAACAATCTTAAGTGTCATTACTTGTAGGTAAAATTTTATCTTTCTACTAGTACTTGGATGAGTTGATCAAAGGGCTTTGACAAGGTGCTTGTAAACTCATCTGGTTGGTCATGGAGGAAATGAGATAAGTTCATATAGTTATCCTTATTTAATTAATTCAGTTCATCAAATCATAGTTTGAATCAGTTTAATTTCTGAATAATTAGAAGTTGAAGAGAAAACATCATAGAAATTTACGTTGCCATTTACTATTGAAAAATTCTTCATAATGTCACCGGGTGGAGAGGTATGCTATATTCAATTCATTGATTTTGAAGCAGTATGTTTGATTTGTTTGGTTGTGTTTATCTCATAATTTTATAAAAATATTGGGAAGAATATTTTTTTTTTTTCAGGCATGACCCACCAATTTCGCTTATTTATTTTGACAAGTTAAAAGTATACGGATACAAATTTGTTTTAACGAAATGAATATTGTCAAAGATAGTAAATTAAAATTGACATGATTATATCGTAGCAAGGCTGGAAGCTTTGATATTATATTCTTTCTGGAATTTGCTTTTGGTCGTGAGAAGTTAACTGACATTCAAAGTTGAGATGCAAATTAATACACACACATATGGGGGAAGAAGATTATATATAGTATCCAAATGTGTGGTGCCATAGCAATCAATACACACACACACACACACACACACATATATGTATGTATGTATGTATATAAATATATGACTGGATTTTTTGGACCCAAATGAGTGGTCTACGCAGGAAATGAAGTATAATTTAGTTGCGGGAAGATATGATCTCTGCGTTGTTAATATAAGGGTTGACTGAGTTTATGTTATGATAATAAATCATTTTTATTTCTAAAGATATCTTGAGAAACAGGGCTTAAACCTATGTGGAGTGGATATGATGTTTTGGTGTGGGACTTGCAGTCGAGGCCACCCATGATTATTATAATCCGTGGTGAGTATTTAGGCTGGCCGATAACCAGATTCACTCCTTCTTTGTGCCATACATTTGATATATGGCGAAAACCCACAGCTCAAGTTGATCATATATGAGGTATATTGTTTTGCTGTCTAAAAAGGAAGTTTTATTTTGTATATGTATTGAATTCCTTTATCTCATGCTTATGAGGTCATTTGTTGCAGATTGTTTAACACATAGGTTGCATTCATTCTAATATATAAGAATGGAAATGGTTGCGGACTCTTGGGGTAACATAAGTGTACGGATCAAGTCCGTAAAGTCCCGTTACTTGGTTATCTATGAATATTGATAAGAAAAGCTATGGGAGATTTGATATTGGAATTTAAAAACATATATAGGGTTAGCCATAAACGTGGCATTTATTTAGCAATGGTTCATGCATGAATTTCGATTATTGTCTTCAAAACCTTTTGTCAATTGTTTGAAAATGCTATTGTATAGTGTTAATCAAGGTTTGATAGCTGGTTTTCATTATTTGATTGCAATAGAAGTTGCAATTTTACGTCAAAACATTCGTGTATTTCTTGGTGAACTATTTACTATAAGTTCAATGGCGGTTATAAATGAGGAGCATGCTTTCTTAGTTATCATGGGTATTCTTGAATTAATTAATACATGAGTTTTATTATTTTGTGAATATTAATGGGGTGCATGTCAATGCGTTATCATATGGAAGGAAATTAAAATTATCGTTTGAAGATTGCTTCCAAAAGCTACTGTGTGATTTTTATGGCTACAAATTGTAATAAGTTATTGCTTGAATTAATAATGTTATGATTGTAAAAATTTTGACTATATATCTTCCTCAGAAATTCTAATTTGAGTAGAATGGATGGTGATATATGATGCTCAATTGTTTAAAATATCCCAAGTATGGGACTTCCATAAGTTTGACGCTTGTCTTAATATATTATGGTGAATTTGAAATTATCAAAAATTCTAATTTAATTAGAATAGGAGGAGATTATGCGGTAATATTCTAATTTAATTAAAATTATTTAAGGTATAAAATATTTTTCATATGAATAAATTATGGTTAGTGTGGGGGTGTCTAGCAAAAAAAAATATATATATATTTTGGTTTATCCTAAATATTGTGTTGTGATAAATTGTGAGCCTTATTTTATGAATGTCAAGGTGTTTTGTATTGTGATTTAAAGGCAAAAATCAACAAAGAGAATGCTATTATTTGCATAAGGGCAAAGTTTGTTGATTATGACATTTTTTGTGTGGTTTGAAACAAGCATTATGATGGTGCCCTAAATTATTTAATTATTTATCTATTGTAGATAGATCTATTTTGAAATAGGTGCGTGACCTATTAAATTATCTTAGCATAAGTGTGTATAATAACTTATTTATGAGTTATGATTCATATGAGATAAATAGAATATTTTTTAAATTATGGGATTGTGAATAGTGGATCCCTAGCGTATAAAATATATAGATGTTAATGTGAGAAGAGCCACTAGTGATTATTCACCTTTAGTGGTGATGGAAACAAATATAATAATAGAACCATAGAGTTTATTACTTTAAAATTGAAGGCTAAGTTGTGAAGAATCTCCTCAATAATTTTGGTGTAAATCCGACACTTAGTGTCGATAAGCATTCCCATGTTGTTGAAAAAGAATGTAAATGAGATGATTTCATTGCTCAATTTATGTAAGTATGTACAAATTTTGAGAGCTTATTGCATTAATCAATATTAATCCCATAATATATATTGTGTGGAGATTGAGTACATCAAGTATAATCTCTTAAGAGGATGAGACAAATGATTGTTTAAGGGATACCATAAATATTGATATCATGAATAATGAATTTTCATTGTATTAAAACAATATAATGATGTTAACTGAATTTTATATTCAAATGAGAAAAAATTCATTGGTAGCCAAATAAGATATTATGTGAGCCGGAGTATATTACTCTGAAGTTGGCTAGTAATGAGACTAAGTAGTTGAAAAAATTTTTAGTGAATAATATGGCATTGAGAGTAAAATTGGCACATATTATGTCAATGCTTTGTGTAAATGCCAAATGATAATAGTCATTGCAAAGAGAACAATGGCATATGTAGACATTGTTTAAGATACAATTACTCATGCTAAAGAAAGGGAGTTATCTCAATCGATTATGTGATATTAGATGTAAATCTGACGGATTCATTAACTAGCCTGGAGATGATTTTAATTATTAAAATGTTGAGAGGAATGAGACTTGAGCCAATTTGAAATTAACGGTGATGACAATCTAACCTTTGTAATTGAAGATCCCACGAAGAAGGTTTAATGGGTAAGAATAAGTCACTTGTTAGTTTTGCTAGCACTAAATTTTTTTATCCCTTCTTATGGCTTGAGAAAGTGCTAGAATGCATTAATTGGAGGTTGAGCAAAAGGTTTTAATGTTTTTTATAGTCCTTATGGATGGTGTATTTATTGTAAATACACTTGATAAAAATACCTATATGAATGTGGAGTGGGGCTGTTCCTATGAGATCATAGCAAAATCTCTAGAGCATTTGTTAAAATCAAGCACTCACATGGTCGATAAAGCGCAAAACTATCATTAACATTGGAGACTATGCAGGTATAATCTAATTAATAAGGCCTCTAGTACACATCCAAAATCTGTTAGTTCAATAATAAAATTACATTAACTTTTCTATGTGCTAAGTTTTATTGATCTAAGTCTGGTTTAAGTCAAAAGACACCAGATTCTAAGTGATTATCTTCCATGTAAATAACTCAAATGATAGTTATCCTTATTACACATGTGGGGGATTGTTGTAATTGTTGCGTGATTGTGTCAAAAGGAAAAGTCCCATATTTCCCACATGAGGAGAGCTTTTAGTGTATATATGCTAAGGAATGAAAATGGGCTAATAAATGAATTTAGAGTTAAAGAGACATTGGGTTCAACTTATTGAATTTACTTTGCAAAATTGTTGGATATGCCTTCCCAAAGGTCTTAGAGTTTGAATATTTAATTTTAAATTCCTTATCAACAGATTTATGTAATGTGCATTATATTATTTCCATTAAAACTAGAAATTGATATTCTAATTGTCTTCAAGTGGTAAGGAGGCAAACGTACAAAACTGAAGGAGTATATAGAAATAATGTGCAATGATGTGTATTTGAAAAACTTAATTAAAATGATGTGTATCTAGAACCTAGCTCTTGAGTTTTGAGTATATCTGTTAGTCTCTATTGTTCTGTGTCTGTGCTAATTTTGCAGGACGAGTCTATTTAATTCTAGGAAGCTGCCATGCGATTTATATAGTATGGCGGAATAGCTCTTAAAGACAATATCTTTGGTATGACTTAGACTATAAATCTACCTGCAAGTTCCAACAGGCCCAAGAGGAGGGGTGAATTGAATAAATAAAATTTTTGGCAAATAATTATTAATTAAAATGAGATAAAGGAAGGAGCAATTTCCCCTAGTAATCTGAGAGTAAGGATGAAAAGCATGCGCTATTGAACCCTATTTTTGATGATTAAAGAATAAAGAGAAGTTTTGTGCGTTTTACGATTTCTTAACTTGAACCTAAGTTAATTGGCTTAATGTTAATTAAATTTGACTAAGTGTAAGTTTATACATAATAGAAGGTATGCTATCTTATTAGTTAAGTATTTAACTTAACTATAATTCTTGTGCTTGAAGCTGTCTTGTTCTAAAGAGTTTCTAAGTGTTGTTAGCACCGATAGTGGAAGCTTTAACATCGGTGCTACTTCAGTTTTCTTCACTGTTCTATTGATTTGTGTTCCATATAACACTAACCTTTTTCATTCTAACACCAGTGTTATCTTCTTAAACCAGTGCAATTGATTCTCTATTATTCGAACCTTTTTCATTGCACTAGTGCTATCTAAATAACTTTAGTCTTAGTCTTTCCTTATCCTTATTTGAATTAAAACAACACCTGTGTTACTTAGTTAGCACCTGTACTAAGTTTTGTAACACCTATACTAACACTTTAACACCAGTACCATCCCTTGTTTTCTCCTACGAAGAGATTTGATTAATTAAGTTACTTTGGTGTTATTTCCCTCTAGCCCCTGTACTGTGTAATCTTCTCAAAAATATTCTTATTCACTTAAAATTATCAAAAATTCTTCATCTTTTACATATTGGACTATACTAGTACTATCTGAACAACACCTGTGTTATGAACTTCTTTCAGAGTCTGCTCATCATTGTAACACCAGTGCTAGGACATTGTAACACTGGTACTACTATGAATTTTCATGCTCTGTTTTTCATATCAATTTAGAAGGTCACCATAACTCATCTTTCAATCATTCTTTTCATCCAAAATTAATTGTGTTCACTCTATATCTTTACCAAATGATATTTAAACATGAGTATTTCCTTGAAGTTATTCAGTTTGCTAATCTTTGATTATGTCACTGAGCTTGCTTTCTGTTATACTAAAATGTATAAGCTTCAACTACCTTTATTAGAAGCATTTAATGTTTTTAGCCGTTACTGTACAAAAGAGAAAGTCTTTGCCGTGAAGCACTATTCCATTGCCTCATCCACCAGAGAACCTCAGAAAAGCTCAGATATCCAAGGAAACATGAAACAAGAAGGAAACAGATCACAAGCAACCTCTAACGGAAACATTTGTGAGTCTAACGGATCATTTATGATCCCTAACTATAAATAGACTTATTTATGAAACTTGAAAAGAGAAGAACAACATGAACTAATGAGAATATTATGTGTTTATTTGAGCATTAAAATTTACCTGCCTTCTGTGTATCATTTATTGTTAGAGAGCTTCATTGATTATATATCTACTCTTAGAAAGAGTTTAAAAGTAATGGTAGTTTGTTCTTGAATTTACTCTATTTATCCTTGTTTTACATCTTCAAAATAGAGGAATTTAAGTTTAAAAAGTTTAAGGGGATTTATCATTATCTTTGTAAGGGGAGAATTTTAGATTTATTGAGAAGTCTGTTAATGTACTGAGGCAACCAAGAGCCCGGATTAATCTTGGTAATATAGTTGAAAATCTTAGGAGGTTCTTGGGGATTGGACATAGACTTAAGTGGTAGGAGTCAAACTAGGATAAATTACTTGTGTCAAGCTCTACTCATCTAACTCTCGTGATTGGTGATTTTATTCCTTCATCTCACTTATTATTACTATAATTCATTTAAATTTTAATTATCCCAATTCACCCCCTTCTTGGGGCATTTTTGTGCACATGATATTTATCCTTTGTAGACAATTTGCTTTACTTGAGATTTTGCTCCATTAAGATCACCAAGATTAATCAGAGCTCTTGGTTGCCTTAATACAATCATAGACGAATCTGTATTACTCCCCCGTACAAAGATAATGATATATCCCGCTTAAGCTCTCCAAGCTTAAGTCCTTTGTTTTAAGTATAGAAAAATATGGATGAATAGAATATGTTCAACAATCATTATAAAAGCTCTCTCTGAGAGTAAATTTACAATTAATGAAGTACAAATTCAATAAATATGATCATAGAAATTTGGTAGAGGATTGAATCGGTGAAATCATGCAATGACTCTTTTGTGGACATCTTTATAAATGTACCTATTTATGTCATATCTCATTTTTAAAGACTTTATTTGCATCCTTAGACTAATAGAAAACAATTCTAAGCTATATAGGAACCGATTATACTTTAAAATTAATAATTATAAATAAATAATGAAAAGCATCACATGATACTATTCATAAATTCTTTTAAATTTTCTAGTCTATTTTGAGAAAAATCATAACTAAGTCTATAAATATTGGATTGAGTTGATTCTTGTCTCATCATATTACAAACCTATAATTTCTTTATAAGGGACAAATAATAAACTAGGTTATAAATATCCCTTTTATTATTTATTCCATGAACTTAAAGAATTAAATTTATCTTTACCTTTTTCCATATTTTATTACTTTGTTTAATAAAATATATAACTTGAGTTATACTTATGCAAATGAAATGCTTTTAGTTTAGTTTGAAAGCTACATGCATCCTCAATCACAAAAATTGTGTAAATGGGCTTAGACAATATCTAAAGTTGTTGAGCTCCAAATAATATGATCTTGAGCTTTTTGTAATACTCAAAGTCTTGTTAATTAAAGAAAAAAAAATTAAATTGAACATAACTAAGCCCAATATATACAGTTAATTCGAGCAAGTTAAATATTCATATTGGACACTTAGCTTATTCTAGAATATCTATGTAAATTTTGAAAATTCACCAATAATTCTAAAAAACTCATTTTTGTGTGAATTTTGATTTTTTTAAAATCTGGAAGAGTCTAATATATTAGAAAAAAAATATTTAGAAGAATCGTATTGGCCCAATCAATACAGTTTGCCTGTTAATTCTTGATCCATGTTTTGGACCTAACCCTTTTTATCTCATCTCTAGACTTGCATATTTGAAAAATAATAACTGAGGCTATACAAATCCAACTAACACGATCTAGGTGTTATTTAAAATCTAAGAATGTCTTCTAACTTGTGACAAAATTTTGTGATTTTCTAACATCAATACCAACACAAAAAGCTCTGTTATGGAAGCATACACATTTTCTAGTTATACAGCCATTTATTTACAACTAGGATTGTCTTGTGTTTTTTGTCATTACATACAAACCCAAAATAGTTCAACATAATCTAGAAACTCCTCTTAGCATACTACAACAACAACATCCAAAAGTTTGAAGCCCAAACTTAAATACAAGTACTATAATATTCACACAAAACTCAGTAGTATAAGTCTATAAATTATTC